GGTGAGAATCTTTGTTTTCTAGATGTTGAGCTTCAATCCATATAGAAGACTGCAGTCCTTGACCTTCTGCACCAAGCGCTTCAGGTCCTCCTCAGTTTCAGCAAGCAGGGTTGTGTCATCCGCATAATGCAGGTTGTTGATGATCTTCCACCAACCCTGATGCCACATTCCTCTTTGTACAGTCCAGCATCTCGTATGATCTGTTCTGCATACAGATTGGAAAGGTGTGGAGACCAAATATATCCCTGACGGACTCCTTTCTTGATTTTGAACCATCCAGTGTCTCCCCGCTCTGTTCTGACGACAGCCTCTTGATCCAAGTATAGGTTTCTCATTAGCACAATCAAATGTTCTGGGATTCCTATTCTTCTCAGAATCAGCCATAGCTTGTTGTGATCCACACAGTCAAAAGCCTTTGCCTTTGCATAGTCAATGAAGCACAGATAGACATTCTTCTGGTATTCTCTGCTTTTTACCAAGATCCATCTAACATTAGCTATAATATCCCTAGTACCACGACCTCTTCTAAATCCAGCCTGCACATCTGGCAGTTCTCTGTTGACATATTGTTCCAAATGTTTTTGGATTATTTTCAGCAGAATCTTGCTTGCATGTGATATCAATGATATTGTGCTATAATTTCCACACTCTGTTGGGTCACTTTTCTTTGGAATGGGAAAAAATATCAATCTCTTCCAGTCAGTTGGCCAGCTGGCTGTCCTCCAGATTTCCTGGCACAACTTAGCACATCCAGGGCAGTGTCTGTTTGTTGAAATAAATCAATTGGTGTGCTGTCAACTCCTGAAGCCTTGTTTTTTGCCAATTCCTTCAGAGCAACTTGAACTTCCTCCTTCATCACCACAGGCTCTTGCTCATGTTATTTCATGAAATTCCTCTGTGTCAGCCAATTCCTTCTGATACAGTGATTCTGTGTACTCTTTCCATCTTCTTTTGGTATTTCATGGATCAGTCAACATTCTACCCAAACTATCTTTAAGTATTACCACCTGTGGCTTGAATGTGTTTTTCAACTCCTTCAGCTTAATGTCTGTCTATAGAGATATTTTTCACACATTTAAAAAAAGTAAAGGCAGGAGACTAGGTGAAGTCATCAAAGGAGTAAGTGTAAATAGAGAAAAGTGACATGAATTCAGTCCATGGGCATGCTGAAATTAAGAAAATAATATAAAGTAACAATAACAAACATCAAAAGATCAACTATTGAGCAGAGAAGAAAAACTATTAACATAAGCAAAGGTCCTCAACCAGTGAACAAACCAGAGAAATTTGGGGAATGGTTAAGTGACTGTTTATTAGGCAGATGAATTTTAAAAATTATATCTTTTCCAATTTTATTTCTGAAAACCCACCTTTTGAAGATCTAATAAAGTTTTTGCTTGCATTTCTTCTCCTGATCAAGGCCTCTGTATATTGAATCAGGTCTAATGACAGATTCAGAGCCCTAGCAAGACAATTCAGAGCCAGCCATAACAGCAATTGCAAGTAAAACGGAAATAAAATAACAAAGCACATCTACTTGAAATGGTCCTAGAAATTGCAGGGTAAAAAGTGTTTTAAGGCTTGGGGATTTTCCTTCATTTCTCCAGATTTGGTTTTATGATACTATGGGGAAGTCATGGAGTTTTGTTATTTTTTTCTTAGCTGGGAGCCATTTTGTCCGAATGTCCATTTGAGGGTGCAGTTAGCAATGTATGGAGACAATCGATTATCACAACTAGAGATGACAAGGGACATGCTACTACATCATAGACTGTATAGGACAGCCCTCTACAACAGAATTATCAGATCTCAAATGGGAGTGGTTTCTCAATGCAGACATTGAGAAACTTTGACTTGATGTTGTTGTTCTTGTTAGGTGCCATCTCCTCAACTCATAGAGGTCAAATGAGCAACATACTTGAACCTTGAGCTATCCTGCACAGTCCTTAAAATATCCATCACGCTTGGGTCCATTGATACAGTCACTGTGTCAGTCCATTTTGTTGAGGGTCTTCCTCTTACCCTTCACCTTTCCCAGCACGATGACTTTTTCTAAGGACTGGCCTCTCCTGAAAACGTGTCCAAAATATGTGAGAGGAATTGTCACCATACTTGCCTCTAAAGACTAGGTTACACTTCCTCCAAGATAAACTAGTTTATTATTTTGGCAGCTCATGGTATAGCCAATACTCTTCTCCAACACCACAACTCAAAGTCATCAATTCTTTTTCTGTAGTCCTTAGCCATTGTCCAACTTTAAGCTGATATGAAGCAATTGAAAATACCATAGCTTAGACTAGACGCACATTAGTCTTTACACTGACATCCTTGTTCTTTAGCACATTAGGGAGGCCTTTGCAAGCCAACTTGCCCACTACGATTGTCTTTTGATTTCTTGACTGCTTCTAGCATGGGTCATGATGGTAAATCTAAGGAAAATTAAATTTTCAACTCTATTCTTTTCTCTATCCTGAGGCTGCTTGCTTATTAGTCTATTTCTGAGTATCTTTTTATACTGAGATATAATCCATACCGAAGGCTGTAGTCTTTGATCTTCAATAAATGCTTCCCTTCTTTCTAGATGCATGATCCTACTATTATCTTTAGGTGGATAAGTAGAAATTATATATGATATGTTCCTTGCAACAAAATGGGATACATTAGCTGCCAGGAAAACTCCAGGTTCCACTTAAAAATACCCATGAGAACTGGAGATACATAAGCACTTTCCAACCCTAAATGGAATTTATAAAGGTATTTACCATAGGTGGGATGAGAGTGAAGAAGGTTAGCAGTCAGTGTGTGTGTGTGTGTGTGTGTGTGTGTGTGTACCATCAAATCAGATACAATAGGCACAGGAAGAGATTGCTCCTCCTTCTCCAGTGGGGCATCTGGTGGAGTCAAATGATACACCTTTGGGATTGCCTCACAGAATATATGCACTTTTAAGATTTGTTTATATGAAATCAAATTGACAAAATCAATTAAAAGAGTAACTAGGAACTTTAGAGAAAAGGAAGTTTATGCAATTGAGGTAGGAATGAGTCTGTAATCTGTCTAAAAACTAATAGAACTACACATCAAAACAGGTACATTTTATTGAATGTATAATACACTTAATTTTTTTAAAAAAACTGTAGGATAAATGAGTTGGCTAATTGTAAATTAGTTCAATTATCTTGCAATTAATTCAGTTCTCTTCTTCCCCTAGCATACTTTGACTTTCTCAGCAAGTACTATTCTCCACTGAGTTGTAGTATTGGGGAGGAGATGGCTCTTGGAGTCCTTGTAATCAGCCTGCATGATCATTAACATACTTGGAAGGCTCCAAAGAGGGGGTGCGTTCAGAGTAATTAAAAACAACCTCATCTTGCAAAAGACCAGACAATTAGGCAGCTCAAGTGAAAGGATATCCAAGCCATGATATCATTGCCAGACCAGCTAATAGCGGTGGCCCACATCCCCCAGTTCAGAGCCTCATCCAGCACAGCTGTGGCCCAAGCAGCCTAGGGGTCTTCCCTATGGGGAGTGAGGAATGGGTCACACCCTCTACTTTTGACCTTATTTGCTTCAACAACCAAAAATTCTCACATGAAATTGGTCATTTCTCTTAGATGGAATATTACTTCTCTCCTCCATATGTCCAGAGATATCACACCACTCACTTTTCTATCTGTATCAGCTGGAAAGAAGGCTCATCTCTCCCATTCACCTTCATTCTTAGATATGGCAGGTGGTCAATACTTTGCCCATCTCTCCTTGGCACTCAGAGTCTGTATTTACCCGCAAGTAGAGTCTCCCTACAAGTACCTGCCACCCTGTTTGAGGCTTCCCTGGGCCTCAGAGGCTGTATGACTCTTATGCATGTTGTTGTTAATGTTGTGTACTGTCAAGTTGAAATCTCTGAAGCTACAGTTCTTACATATCCTTCAAGCCAGGAACGAAATTCAACTCTCTGAGTTAACTCTCAAACAATAGACAGGCCTATGGTAACCAATAACACAGGAGAGACACTAACTCCTTAGAATAACCAATTATATAAGGACAAAGGAGCAGCATATATCCAAGGGGAAAAACTCAAAAGGCAGGAATGGATAGGATAGGGGTAATGGAAATGAGAAATGCAGGGAGGAAATAGGAAGAGTGTGATCACATTGTGGGTATTGTAATTAATGTTATAAAAATGTGTTGAAAAGGCTCATTTCCTCCTTTTCTACTGAAAGCATGCTGTAAGATCTGCATTCATCCTTGTCTTTCCAGGGGTCTTTTTCCTTCTTCCCTTTTCACTTTAACTCTTTTGCATGACCCGCCTTATGCTATGCTTCTTATTTCCTGAATATACTTTCCCCCCTTGTTTTGCTAAATTGAAAAAAAAAAAGTTAAAAATAGTTGCATGAAAAACCAATTAGCAGGGAGCTCTGGTGGCCTAGTGGCAAGAAGCTGCACTGCAATCCCAGAGGAGCGTGGTTCAAATCCATTAGATGCTCTGCTGGAGAAGGAGGGGCAATCTCCTTCTGTACCAGACAGATCCGATTTGACAGTACACACACACAAAATAATAACATTTTTAAAAAATAGAAAAACAAGTTAGCTTTGTAACTTTTCAATCAAATCTCTGTCTCTCTCACACACTCAATTTTGTTAACAGTTTCTACTGGTGTGAGAAGCCAAGCCAATGTCCTCAACTCTAGGGGTTGAACACATAGTTTCTCCCGCAAGGACTCAATTTTGATAGTTTATACAGGAAAAACTAAGAAGCCTGTCTTTTAGCAGAGACTGCCAAGCTGTTATGTAACTGGGGAATATGCCTGAGAATGAAACCAATATAGAGGGGAGCAGAGCCACAAGATAGAGAGATTGCTGCTATCCTTTGAATTCCTGGATCCAGCCATACCTGTAGACATTTTATTCCTGGACTTGTTGGTTATGGGAGCTAATAATGTTTAAGCAAACTAACCAAGAATGGAGTGCTACTGGCATCTAGTGGGTGAAGGTCAGGAATGCTGCAAAACATTCTACAAAGCACCGGACATTGTCCCCGCAACAATAGTGCCCAGATTGAGGAACTTTTCTGTCTTACAGAACCAAGGGTAGGTGACCTGGCAATGTGTATTTCTCTCAACTATAAAAAGAGGATGTTTACATCACAAGGTTTTTATGAGTGTTGAGTTAAGAAAAGTAGAGCTTGGAATCACTCATTAAGTAATCAATCAACTGGTTTTATTCTCTAGTGAATGTTATGTACCAAGCAGTAATATATCCGAGGGTCAGGGAGGCTACATGCATCTTGGAAAAATAATCAGAAGTGCTTTCTCTAATGCTCCCAGTTAATGTTCTTCACTTCTGAAACAGATGCAGTTAAGTTGTCATTTAATTTCTGGGTATTTGGATTTATAAGTCGTAAAATATGGTTTAGTCTTCTAATTGTAAATTTTTCTAAAGTTTTTTTTCTAAATTTAGTCATGTGGAAGGGAAAACAACAGGCAGGGAATGGTGTTTGAAAGAGTTAAGAAACTCAACTGTTTCAAACTGCAGGAATATCCATTTGCACAAAGACCATTCTTTTCACGAATGAGGGTCATCTTTCTTGAACTCTTATTACTAGAGGAGTTTTTAATCTGAAATACTGTATCTGTTGTAATAATGTAATGAGCATCACTGCAGTTGGTAATTAAATGACATTGTCTTGGAAGTCATCTGTAATTCAGGAGTTTCACCAACATCTCCTGGAATCTCCTCATTACTGAAACTTTTCTGTAATATCACAAAGTCTAGATGTTAACAGCAAGATCTTTGAAAAAAACCTAAACCAGCAGGTCAGCAGAATTCAAGACAACTAAGTTAACAGATCTTTGAACCATGCAGTGTACTCTTGCTGTGTTCAGACAACAGCTTCCTTGCTTAGGTATAGGTTTCTTGTGAGCATAATCAGGTGTTCTGGGATTCCAGTCAGGAAATCAAAAGATGAGTTACACTGGGAAAATACTGAAGAACAATAATTCCAGTTTACAGACTAAGGTACACCTTATCCAGGCCATGGACATCTCAATTGCTTGCTATGCATCTGAGAGCTAGACAGTGACTAAACATGACAGAAGAAGAAACAATGTCTGTGAGCTGTGGTGCTAGAGAAGAGTATTGAACATACCATGGACTGCCAAGAAAACAGGTCTGTACTGGAGAAGATGAAACCAATTTGCTCCTTGGAGGCAAAGATTTTAAAGCTCTCACTCACATAGTTTGGGCATGTTTTCAGGAGGGGCCAGTCCTTGGAGAAGGACATGCTTGGAAGAGTAGAGATTCAGCACAGGAAAGGAAGACCTGGATGAGATATATTGACACAGTAACCCTGACAGTGAGGTCCAGAGTGTCTGAGACAGTGAGTTGGCTCAAGATAGGGCAAGGTTCAGAGCCATTGTTCATAGGATTGCTATGAATTGTAGTTTACTTGATGGCACATAACAATTACAAGTTAACAGAAGCATCCCTGACTAGAGCTAACAGGTAAGGCACTGGACTGCTAACTGAAAGGGTAGAGATTTTGAGTCCAGAGGTCCCCTGGGAGGAAGCTTAGGAGGTAGGGTGAAAAGGCTATTGAAAACTGTATGAAGTTTGGCTCTATTGTGACAAACATGGGGTCGGCATTAGTCTGAATCTATGCCACAGCAATTGGTTTTAGTTAATAGAAAGCCATGAGTTATAAATTTTCTCACATTTAATCATGTTCTCCAAATCCATCATTAGAGCCATACCTATGAGCTAGTGTTATTGCTATCGTTTAACACGTTGCCGCACACTTTTAAATTGACAACCATGCTTAAAAACACATTTCCCCCCCCCCGATGTATTACCGTCATTTGCCACAACGTGTTAAAATGTCTTGCTGTTGCACACAGCAGCAAACCTTACCCTATAAGGCCCAATTAACTTTTTTTAAAAGGAACAAATTATTTAAACTTAAAAAAAATGGATGTCAGAAGAAACTCTGAATATTGCACTGGAGTGCAGAGAAGCCAAAGCACAAGGAAGAATTCAAGATACTAAAGAGCTGAACAGAAGATTCCAAAAGGCAGCACTGAATGAGAAAGCAAAATATTACAATGAAATGTGCGAGGAGCTAGAGTCGGAAAATCAAAAGGGCCGAACTCGTTCAGCATTTCTTGAGCTCAAGGAACTGAAGAAATTCAAACCTAGAGTTGCTATAATCAGGGATGCTTTAAGCAGAATATTAAATGATCCAGGAACTATTAAAAGAAGAATATACTGAGAAAAGAAAGGAATATACTGAGTCATTGTATTGAAAGGAATTGGCAGATACAGAATAATTTAATGAAATAACATTTGAGCAAGAGCTTATGGTGATGAAGGAAGAAGTTCAAGCTGCTTTGAAGGAAATAGCAAAAATAAGGCCCCAAGAATAGATGATATACCCATTGACATATTTCAGCTAACAGATGCTGCCCTGGATGTGCTCACCAAGTTGTGCCGAGAAATCTGGAGAACAACCAGTTGGCCAACTGACTGGGAGAGATCTATCTATATTTGTTCCCATTCCAAAGAAGAGTGTGGAAACTACAGAACAGTATCACTGATTTCACATGCAAGCAAGATTCTACTGAAGAGTATCCAAAAACGACTAGAACAGCACATCAGCAGAGAACTGCCAGAAGTCCAGGCTGGGTTTAGAAGGGGTCGTGGTACTAGGGATATTGTAGCTGATGTTAGATGGATCTTAGCTGAAAGGAGGGAATACCAGAAGAATGTCTATCTGTGTTTTATTGATTATGCAAAGGCTGACTCTGAGAAGAATGGGAATCTCAGAACACTTAATCACACTAATATGAAACCTATACTTGGTTCAAGAGGCAGTCGTCAGAACAGAGCAGGGTAATACCGCATGGTTCAAAATTGGGACGGGTGTACACCAGGGATGTGTCCTATCTCCATACCTTTTCAACCTGTATGCAGAGCAGATTATCCGAGAGGCTGTACTCTATGAGGAGAAGTGTGGTGTCAGGATTGGTGGAAGATCTATTAACAATCTGCGTTATGCAGATGACACAACCTTGCTTGCTGAAACTGAGGAGGACCTCATGTACTTGCTGCGGAGGGTCAAGAACTGCAGCCTTCAGTATGGACTGAGGCTCAATGTGAAGAAGAAAAAGATTCTCACCACTGGATCAATCGGTAGCATCAGGATGGATGGCGAATTGATTGAGATTGTTCACAGCTTCAGTTTGCTCGGCTCCATGGTCAACACTCTTGCCATCAGCAGCCAGGAAATAAAAAAACATATTGCGATGGGAAAGTCTGCTGTTAGGGACCTCTCTAAAGTACTCAAGAGCAACGGTGTCTCTCTGGAGACTAAGGTGCACCTGATACAGGCCATGGTCTTTGCAATCATTTGTTATGCATCAGAGAGTTGGACAGTGACTAAGGATTATAGAAGGAGAATTGATGCCTTTGAGCTGTGGTGCTGGAGAAGAGTACTGAATGTACCCTGGACTGCCAAGAAAACAAACACTCATCCTGGAGAGGGTTAAACCAGGCTACTCCTTGGAGGCAAGGATTCTGGGGCTTTGTCTGACATACTTTGGACATGTTGTAAGGAGGGACAGGCCCTTGGAGAGGGACATCACGCTTGGGAGGGTGGAGGGACAGCGCAGGAGGGGAAGAACCTCTATGAGGTGGATTGATTCAGTGACTGGGGTAATCGGGATGGGTGTGTCAGAGGCAGTGAGATTGGCACAGGATAGAGCACGGTTTAAGGCTGTTGTACATAGGGTCACTATGAGTCATGAACGACTTGACATCACATAACAACAACAACATAAGCAGGGAAGGGAAAAAACCCAGCAAATGCTTTTGTTTGCTTTTAGTGTCCCTAACTGCAATCCATAGACAATGTAATTTACCATATAGCCTAGTGGTAAGAAGCAACATTGTAATTCCACAGGCGGAACCCACCAGCTACTCTGCAGGAGAAGGATGGGCAATCACATCCCATGCAGTTTACTGCCACGGAAAACCTCTAGAGGGTCAGCTGTGGGTTGGTTCCATTCTTGACGACGTACAACAGTGGCCTAGGGAGCTCTGAAGACCTAGTGATAAGGCGTTGTGCCTCCAACCCAAAGGCAAGCAGTTTCAATCCCCCTGCTGCTCCATGGGAAAATTATGGGCAGTCTTCCCCCATCCAATTTATTGCCTCTGAAAACCCACTAAACGGTCCAGCTGTGAGTCATTTCTGACTCAACGGTACACAACAACAATGGTTTAGTCCTCCAGTAAGCATTTGTGCTGCCAACCCAAAGGTGGCATCTCTCTGGCAGTTGTTATCCAACAGATGCTGTGCAGGAAAAAGAGGGGCAATCTCTCCCCATGCACTTTACAGTCTGAAAAACCTCACTGGAGCATCAGCAATGAGTGTGTGCAGATTCAATGACATCAAATTTACAGTTGTGGCCATATAACTAGGCAAAAAATACTTCAGCAAATAAAAGCAAAGTTATCTATAAGAAAGCCATGTCATGTGCTGCTCAACATGAAAATGCTTGGTCCCTGGAGGGAGTATAATACATAGAATTTCCATAGGGAGCTCTGCTCACCTAGTGGATAAGGATTAGCGCTACCAACCCAAAGGCATGCAGTTCGAATCCACTAGCTATGTTGTGGGAGAAAGATATGCAGTCTCCTCCTCTGCAACTTACTGCCTCTGAAACCCCCTGAAAGGTCAGTTGTGAGTCAGATTTCGACTCAAGGATACATAACAAGACTACATATATGAGAGAGATAAAAGCAAGGTCACAGAGGTGTTTTAACTTGGTGATAGATACCAGGGACAGTGAAGAAATACTGGTAATGTTCCTAGCAAAATAAATCACAGTGTAGCCAGTGGAAGAAAAAAAACAATACTACTTCCTATGTGAAGACTGGGAGAAATGAAAATTCTCCCACCATAAAAAGTGGTGGACTCTGTCAGTCATTTGCAAGTACGGGAGTAGGAAGAGAAAGCAAGACTCCAGGTCCATTACAGAAACACGAAGCCTGAGGCGTGCTCGGCACCTGCATTTTACGTCACAGGTCTGCGCCTGCGCAGAAGCCATCCCGTCACGTGGTGGTGAACTGTAACAGTCAGTCGCGAAGCTGAGGTGGTGGCAACACACAGAAAGGTACCAGAGTTTTGAGGACTTTGAAAAGAATTTCCTGTAGAAAACTCTAGATATTTGTTTAGCACTTTCTGGGGGTGGTGGGGTGCTGGTGTTTCTTGGTGTTTGTACTAAGTAAAGGCAGAGCTACCGTTTATGTGCGACTTGAAATTAACGAGCAACTTTTTGACTCACTTGGTCAATGCACGTATTTTCTCTCTTCTTTTAGGGACCGATTGCATTTGCAATGCAGCACGATTTAGAAAAAGCTTTGGATCGTGCGGACTATCTCATTGAAAGTGTCCAAGAGAGACCTCCTAAAAGGAAACACTCATCTTCTGAAAGGAAGTCCATATTTCAGAAGCTTTATGACATATATACTGAAGAATGTGAAAAAGAGACCGAGGGTTTGGAGGGACTAAGAACAAATGTGAACCTGCTAGAGAAGCTTGTTGCTCGAGAGAAGTTGGCCTGTTTGGTGGTCACTCTCTACCCTGGCAATGAGGGCTATTCGCTGATGTTGAGGGGGGAAAATGGATCCGAATCT